TGAAACTTCTAGAAGAAAACATAGGCAGTACGCTCTTCGACATCGGTCTTAGCAACATTTTTTCAAACACCACGTCTCACCGGGCAAGAGAAACAATAGAAAAAATAAACAAATGGGACTACATCAAACTAAAAAGCTTTTATTTTGTTTTAGATGATAGGCATCCTAAGCAATGTGGAGGAGTATCTCATAGTGGTTTTGATTTGTATTTTTCTAATGACTAGTGTTGTTGGGCATCTTTTCTTGTGTTTACTGACCATTTGTATATCTTCCTTGGGAAAATGTCTTTCAAGTCCTCTGTCCATTTTTAATTGGGTTTTCTGTTAATTTGTTGTTGAATTGTAGGAGTTCTTCATATATTGTGCATATCAATCCCTTATGAGATACATGCTTTGCAAATACTTTCTCCCATTCTGTGAGTTGTCTTTTCATTCTCTTGGTAGTATCCTCTGGTACAAAAACTTGTCCAAAAGTTTTTAATTTTGATGAAGTCCAATTTACATATTTTTTCTTTTCTTGTCTGTACTTTTGGTGTCATATCCAAAAAATCATTGCCAAATCCAATGTCATGAAGACTTTTACCTGTGGTTTTTTTCTCAGAATTTTATAGTTTTAGCTCTTACATACAGGCCTGTATCTATTTTGAGTTCATTTGTGTATATGGTATAAAGTAAAGGTCCAACGTCATTCTTTTGCGTGTGGATATCCAGTTTTCCCAGTATCATTTGTTGAAAACACTGTCTTTTCCCCACTGAATGGCCTTGGCACCCTTGTTGAAACATCACTCGACCATGTACCTGAGGGTTTATTTCTAGGCTCTCTATTCTATTCCATGGTTTATATATCTGTAATGTCAGTACCAAACTACTTTGATTATTGTAGATTTGTACGAACTTCTTAAATCAGGAAGTGTGAGTCCTCTAACTGTGTTCTTCATTTTCAAGACTGGTTATTTGGGGTCCCTTTGGATTTCATATGAATTTTAGAATGCTTTTCTCTATTTCCTCAAAAAATATTTCTGCCATTGAGTTTTTGTTTTTCTGATTTTGTGAGGAGGCCTAGCCCTGAGCTAACATCCGATGCCGATCCTCCTCTTTTTTCTGAGGAAGATTGGCCCTGGGCTAACATCCATGCCCATATTCCTCTACTTTATATGGGACCCTGCCACAGCATGGCTTGACAAGCAGTGCATTGGTGCGCGCCCGGGATCCGATTCTGTGAACCCCGGGCCGCCGAAGTGGAGCGCGTGCACTTACCTGCTGGGCCACCAGGCAGGCCCCCCTGCCATTGAGATTTTGACAGAGATTGTATTTTTTTGTTTTTACCGAAGTAACATTGGTTGGTAACATTGTATAAATTTCAGGCATACATCATTATACTTCTATTTCTGCACTGATTACATCATGTTCACCACCCAAATACTAATTGCAGTCCATCACCACACACATGTGCATAATCATCCCTTTCGGCCCCCTCCCTCCTGTCCTCCCCTCTGGTAACCACCAATCCAAACAACGATTGTATTGAATCTGTAGATTGCTTTAGGTAGTACTCAGTATTTGTCTTAACAATATGAAGTCTTCCAACCCATGAACATGGGATGTTTTTCCCTTTATTTATGTCTTCTTTAATTTCTTTCAGCAATGTTTTGTACTTTTCAGTGTACAGTCTTTCCTCTCCATGGTTCAATTTACTCCTAAGGATTTTATACCTTTTGATGCTATTGTAAATAGAATTGTTTGCTTGATTCCCTTTCTGGATTGTTCATCACTAGTGTATAGAAATGCAACTGATTTTTACCTGTTGATTTTGTATCCTGCAAATTTGCTTAATTT